TCGGCCTGTTTGTTATTGAAAACGAAAGCGTATAGTTCATATTTTACAATACAAAAACATCTTTCTTCAAAATTAAGTATTTGGGCTAAAACTCATCTTTGAGTGCTCAAAGCTAAAGTACTTACAGTTCTTTTCAGTGTCTCACCAGACACATGCATTCAAATGATAGTTACATAGAACTAAGAAATTGTTTGGCATTTGTTTAAGAAATTTTATATATTAGTTATCGTTCTATGTCAATAATTATATTTCGGTGTTGCATAAATTCCGACAATTGATCAAATTCTGAAGTAAAATGTCCCACCAGTCACAATGGAATGACCCTAAGGTCCATATCAATTGTGTAACAACTGAAAAAATGGCATATGCTGGAATATTTGTATTTATTTCCAGGTGAATTTCGAGTTAATTGATTCACATGCAATCAATGGTAACATAGAAGAGATCTCATTTATTGGTGGACGCATCGATGTGATACATCCATTTGGTTTCACAACACTCAAAGATCGCGCTATTCTACTGAAAATGGATAATGTTCTGGTTAAGCGAATAGAACCACAGGTAAGAGTGATACAATTTCATAGGATTTATTGGATTCAGTTTTATTATACAGGGTACAGCAATTTAAGTGTTAACAAATAAAAGTGTCGTATTTTCTTTATTTATTAATGAATTTTGTACAATTAAACAAAAAGGGCTGACAAATTAATTATCTTAAAAACTGTATCAGCGGTTTTGAGTTTGGCCACCCCTGGCCTGAATTATGGCTTTCTAATGGCCAATGAAGGCATCACTATCGGTCGCTTCGGCTTTCTGGTGGCCATTCGAATGTTCAAATTCTCAGCTGATCCCTCTGACAAGTAAATTTGACTTTTAAAAGAATACACTTGCGGGCAACATGCGATGCCGTCATCCAGAAGAGAAACAAAAAATTCTTAGGGCCGTTCGCACCGTATCCAGTTAATCTAACTCCTAGTTAAACATCGTTATCGACGTTATCGACAACCAGCATAATATAACATGTGACCGATCAAGCAGTCAATGTGTTTAACTGAAGCATGTAGCTCCAAATAGTGTTAACTAGACGTGGTGCAAACGGCCTTAATGTTATATTTTTGGTCATAAATATTTGTTCAAAACAAAAGGCGTCGAGGTATTTTCTCCTGATTTAAAAGACGGGGAATGGGGAGAGTTTTTTGCTACGATGGCGTCGGCGCTTAAAAGCGATAAATACAACAAAAAAAAATTTAAGTGAGTCCAAACTTTTGCAGGGCAGTGTAAATAAAAAATTCTCCCAGCAACGAAATAAGAGGAAACCTCGAGACATCCTTAGATTTTCTGCCGTTTTCACCGATCAGCAATTGAGAAACATGAATGCGTACGTTTAATCCAAGCACGAAGAGTGACCATAGTTCCCTCTAATTAAACTACATACGTTAGTTTCCATTCATGATCTCGGGAAAAGTAAATACGCTCTTGTAGACGACACAACTCTCTGAAAATAGTTTTTAGGGCAAACTCTTCTCTAGTAAAGCCAGTAGGAATGTTTTACTTTCAAAAATGGTTTTATTCCAAAAAAAAATAAAATGAAAAAATTTCAGAAAGTCCTGCTGTCCAAAAGAGTGTTGTTCCACAATGTTGCCATAAAATACAAACATTTTTCTTGACTATAAGCGCAATATGAGGAAAACCAAGCGGGAGAAACTTCTTTGAAAATTTTGCCTTACCTAATTCAGACACACTCTCGCAAGAAAGTCAGTTTCTTGAAACGGCTTCAAAGAAGATGCAAACACAGGTAGATATGCTTAGAACTTTTCTTCGCAGGGGCCATGAAGCAAGTAAACTGATCTGTCCCAGGATATGTCCTATTAAAATTATTTTTCCTACTAATGAGAAAAAAGTCGTTTAAGCACTTCGAGTCACCGAGATTTGTTGAAATTCTTGCCACTCAAAAACCAAGGTATATAGTTAGCCGCATGTCGTCTGTTAGGCGAAAACTAGTCACAACGTTTGTTTGTTTGTTTGTTCTTCATACATACAACGACGTTCTGAAGTTAGAAAGGAAAGGCTCAGAGTTTATGCTATGCGTCTCGAAAAACTGTTTCCCCTCGAAATGAGGGTATTCTAATGCTGATAAATATATTTTTTTAATAAAATTATAAATTCAATTCTTTTCATCGTAGGCCTTCAAAAAGTTCGCAGTCGAACAATTGGAAATCCGAAGCTGTGTGTTCCAGACAAATGTGCCATCGAAAGCCTTTTACGAACTTGAGGTGCTCAACTCTTTGCGCATACACAATAACCAATTTCAAGAGGTGCATTCGCATGCATTTTCATTTAAAAGTAAGTAACGATGATTTATAAAACTAAGCTAAATAAAGTGTAAATTACTGTAATAGAAATAAAAATATGCCAGTATTATTAGATTGTTGCAAGGCGAATTTATATAAGGTGGTGTTGTTTCATCAGCTGTGAGTAGCGTTTGATTGTCAAAATTTTGTATTTCGCTAGTGAGTGAGTGAAAACGTGAGAGTGTTTGTATTTTCTGTCGCCCTTTTTCCTTCGGCGAAGAATAGCTTAAATTTGACAATGGTCCGCTAAAAGCAAAAACAAAATACAAGTAATTGTTGTATTTGTTGAATCAATACCACCTTATACATATATATTCGCCTTGGATTGTTGTAATTTTTGGAGCGGATTTTTGTCACTTTATTTTTTTATATTCTATTTTGTAATTTTTAACGGAGTTCACAAAAAAAGAAGGTTATCAATTCGTCGGAATATTTTGTTTCTTCTATTTTTTTATGTATGTTACCGCATAACTTTGGACCACGCTCACCGATTTCGATAATTCTTTTTCTATCGGAAAGGTGGAATGATCATTGGATCATGAAGAACTTAACGGTACTCCTAATTTTTGTATGAGTATTGAAGTCGGTTGTGTTTTTGCTTCAAAATTACTTGTATTTTATTCTTCTCTTTGTATTGTTTATTTTTTTGATTTTTCATGTATATTTTCATTTCATTTTTTACTCTTTATTTGGATCATTTTATGCTTTTTTATTTTTTTCATTTTCGTTTTATCTATTTTAATTTGTAGGTATGGTAGCTTGAATATAGAAATGCGCTAACTCATTTGCTTCCGAAACTCAGCTTTGTACAAAGGTCGGTTGATTAGGTACTCACTAAATGCTTTAATAAACTTACAAAACAACTACTTCATAAATAAATTTGCATCAATGTTTATTAAATCCAGGATTTTGAAAAAATCCCCAACTTAAGAACTTCAGCTTTTATAAAGTTTTGTAACTACTCTCTAAAGACACAAACAGTTTTAATAAGGCCTTTCTATATTCAAGTAACGATATGTATGTACAGCTACAGGCAATAAAATATACATACATCAATTGTTTTCATATTTCCTTAAACAAATCTATCAATTTAGTAATTTCCTCCCATTTTCAGTTATCAATAAACTCAGCATTACGGACAACTATTTTGCTTCCATCGATGCTGAGTGGATTGAAGCATATGTGCGGGAAAGCGTCATCATACGGGATAACTATTTCGGTCTGACTAGTCCGATAGCTTTCAAAGGTAATCGATCATTAACTCTTGTAAATAAACCTACAAATACAAAACCCGTCCTCATCTGTTCACCTTCCAGGCATCCATATTCATCGCGACTACATGCACAGCGAACTACTCGAGCTGCAATTCAACAACAATACTGTACAGTTGCCATCTGAAACGCGTCCACTCGAATTCAACGATCGCTTTGCGCTCAATCTCAAGCAATTACGCTATGAGAATATATACGGCTGTAACGATTTGGATACAGCACAAAAACCACCGATACCCAAGGAAACATTCTTTCGCAATAATGTTGACAATATTTATGTGCTAACAGTGGCGGCCAAAAAGCTACCATTAACACCAGCCAATGGACAAATGAATGCAGCAAGCAAATCCAACGATTTTGTCCTACTCAACAAATACATCGAAACAAATTGTCAGCCACGTTCCTATTTGCTATACATACTTTTAGGCGTGCTAGCGTTGGTGCTAGTGCTACTTTTAGTTGGTGTAATTGTGTGGCTGCAATTGGCCAAACGACGAAAGAAACGCAAATTGGATGTAGTTATGCCAGAGCCGCGCACCTACAAGGAGACGCAAATCATCTATCAGATCGAAAATGCGGGACTACTAAAGACTGACTTGTGAGTGCTAGCCATAGCGAAGGCTAAGTTGAGGTGTATGAGGAACGTTTATAGATGCTATGCAAAATAATTGCCACGCCAAAAAAATTTTAAATTTATTACATATAATTTAAGCAAAAAGTTATAAATACATGTGCGTATTGTATATGTATGTACGAGAAGGCATGAAGTAGGAGGTGAAAATTATAGGAAATCCAAATACGCTGTTTTACCAAATTGTAGAGTTAATTTGTATAAAATACCATATTTATGTAGACATTTTATATTTTTGTATGTTATGTACATACATATATACGAATAAATTATATGCTTAGCTTAAAATAGGTTAGGTCATGTATGACAGTGGTTAAATTTAAAGTTATAGAGAACCATATTAGTATTGGTAAATTTGTATGGCACATCAGCGAGAGTGTTCGCGCAGCAGATAATTTGTTGAATTAGTGCGAAACTTTGCCATTTAGAGACCGTGCGTAATTTATGCGAATTCAAAAGATTCATAGTTCTTGCGGAAATGAAGCTTTTAATCACCACTATCTCCGCTGTTAAATTTATAAATGTTAGATGTAGCAATAAATCAAACATTAGTTCGTACAACTCGGAATGTTTTGCATTTTTCGTTCATCTAAAATTTAATTATCCCTCTCTTTTAATTGCAGTTCTCCGTAATTTCATTGCTGAAAAGTTCTAGCTAAATGTTTACTTGCTGTTTTCAGCCACAAGCATTTTTTTCGAGTTTTATTCATTATTGATAAAAAAATAAAAAAACTTTTATTGACTTACCCAATTGGCAGATAGGATTCTAATGCTTGATGTACTGTTAAAACTGGCTCAGATAGCGCAAAACCTTTTGATAAGAGTGCATGATGAATATTTATAGTCTCCTCAACACCACCGAGGTCCTCCATATCTTTATCGTCTACAAGATTAGGTTAAGACATTAATGAATATTTATTAAAGTACAATTTAAAAAATATAAAACATGAAAAACTTATTAAAAAGGGAATTGAAGAAAAAAGTATAAAATTTAGAGAAATACATATCGCTCATTTACTTCAATAGTGTCATAACTCAAAAAAGGGAAACTCGAGTAAAAAGTCTTTAAAGTTTTGAATGTACATATACCCCTATAGTAAAAATGAATACATATTTTATTTTAGTTCAACATAGAAGAAGAGGTAGCAGTAATTTCTGTACACTTAGCTTAATATTTATAATTTTTGATTTGATTTGATTGAAGTAAATGAGCGATTGTACAATTTGCTTGTATTTTAAGAAAAATTGTTA